TTTGAAGGATTGATCAAGCCTTGTTGTAGAAAATCGCATAAGCACAAATGATTTTCTACCAAAACTTGAAGAACACAAGAGGGAAGAATTGAATATGGAAGAAAGGATGTTTGATCATTTTGTGGAATGAAAATAATGTTTCTCATATGTTTGTAATATGATTTTTCTCTAATATTTGTATTGATTCCTCCATCACCTATTTATAGATTTGGATCAATATCCCATGAAATGGTGCCAAACATATTGAAGAGTTGTGAAAAAACCGCCAAAATTTAAATCTCAACGGCCTCCAACGGCCATTTTCTAAGTACCATGCGACCGCATGGTACAACACCATGCGGTCGCATGGTTTAAGAACTTCATAGCCCCAGTTTTCCTGCCTTAGGCCATGTGACCGCATGGCTAGCCTACCATGCGGTCGCATGGCACACACAATGAGCCATCGTTTCGAATTTTTTCATTCCATTTCGTTTCGCTTTCATTGGGGCCGTGAAGTTCTTTAACCATGCGACCGCATGGTGTTGTACCATGCGGTCGAATGGTATTTAGAAAATGGTCGTTGGAGGCCGTTAAGATTTAAATTTTGGCAGTTTTTTTCACAACTCTTCAATATATTTGGCACCATTTTAGGAGATATTGATCCAAATCTATAAATAGGTGATGGAGGGATCAATACAAATATTAGAGAAAAATCATATTTCAAACATATGATAAACATTATTTTCATTCCACAAAATGATCAAACATCCTTTCTTCCATATTCAATTCTTCCCTCTTGTGTTCTTCAAGTTTGGGTAGAAAATCATTTGTACTTATGTGATTTTCTATAACAAGGCTTGATCAATCCTTCAAACCATTTGTCGCGAGACCCTTTAAGCACCAAAATTATATACGAGAGAGGGCAAATATCGTTTGAGGATAGCAATATAATGTCGTGTTTGAGCCTTCATATTTATTTAGGCTTTTTCCCATTATTTTCATTTTCTTGAATTTCCATTTCTCGGTTTCTTCTCCAAACCCCGATGTGATAATTTTCCAACAATCTCAAACGATAGTATGCGATGGAGAACAAAAATCATTTTGGCGAGATCAAGTTGATGAGATCCAGATTTTGGTTGAAACGTTCAATGGGACGATACATCACATGAAGGCTAGTATGAATTCTAAATCCGGATTTAATACCGCTACCGAAGTCAACACTTCATTGGAAAAGGAAATCTGGAATGTTTGGAAAGGAAATTTACGCAAATTGAGAAACTTCAGATAAGTGCTATATATTTCATTTAATTGAATAAATGATAGATGATGATTCTATGTTTGAATAGCCAAAAATGCCTGCCTATGTGTGTTAAAGACCATGAATTTTGAACCTTTTCGGTGTGCATAATTTACATGGATAAATCGGACTAGAATTTTGCTCAATTTTGTCTTGACACGTGTTACTGGAAAAGGACAAAACTCACTAAATGAACATTACTTGATGCATGAATTGTTTGGCAGTTAATTGTGCTCATTTGCGAACGGGGCATGAGCATGTTTGATAGGCCAACCGTTGTGTTTACATCTTTGTTAAATATGAATTTTAAAAGAGCATGAGTTTATCAACGATGAGACAATCAATTTGTGTGTTTATAGTTTGAATAAATGTTCAAACATTAATTGTCTTTTAATTAAATACGTTTGCATTTAAAGGTTAGTAATGCATATGTTCTATTGAAGGAAAAATGCATTCTTTCATGTACCAGCAACTACTTTTAGTTAATTGATAGTTAAATGCAAGTATAAGTTTAAATGAAAGTGCACATCCTTTCACTTATGTCCGTTGCCTGCATGATGGAAATCTGGTAAATTCTTTGCTTGGCATAAAACCTATTTCTATTGGTAACTTTAATCATCTATTGGTTGTCGATATCTTTGGAATAAATGACATTAGAGAATTGTATCTGTTACGTGTTTGCACACTTGGGCAACCCACCGTGGCCCACAGTCAACTCATGCCAAACCATGTGGCACTGAAGTCGAGGTGATTCCCATACCGAGGCCCGTAACCCGAGGTCCACAGAAACCAAGGCCCATCTATCATTGCCTCTTGAGGAGATTTCGAAGCCCATATGCCGAGGCCCTTTGAAGGTGGACGAGGCCCTATTGGCGGAGGCTTTGTAGCGGAGATAGCAGTCTCTAAATCACAAAGCAGCATCTTCCATAGATGCTTCTCCCGAGAGATCCTCTGCACAAGGATCTCACTTGAATGATTGATAGGACGTTTGTCATGAGTGTAATGTTAAGTCTTGTCACTAGTAGAGGTGGCTCTGCCAATCAATAAATGTATAGCAGGCTAGGTGCGGCTGATGCCTACAATTTGACTTGTAAATTAACCGGATGAGGCCACGTGTACTTCGAACCAAAGGTCACAATCTAACTTGTAACACTATAAATACTCCCCCATGTACCCCATACAAAGGCTAATGCAAGAATCAATACAAGAAACCATACTTTACCCAACTTTCTCTTTCTTATTATCTTGTAACACAAACGAGTTCATACATATTTAGATACACATTTACAAACATCGATTGGTAATTATTGTACAATCGGTCTACGAACACCCCGTCGGATTCCGAAAGTTCTTGTCCCGCACCGTTGAGCTACTCCCACGCCCTTGACTTGTCCGTTTTAGACTGTCCACGTGTCTTAGAGTGTTGGACTTTACTCATGTGTTCGCGGGTGGGTCCGACATCTATTGGCAACATTTTTTTGGGGTCAATAGATAGGCGCCGTCTGTGGGAATCCATACAATAACCACGAACAACCTTGTGGTGAAAGTTTATTGAAGATGAACATTTAGGCATCCCCCTTGAAAAATGATTTGTTCTTGAAAAAGAACAAGAGGAAGTCCCACAACTTAGCAAAAATCTGAAGGTCGAACATAGAAAATGAGTTCAAACAAAGGCACGCCCCCCAGGAGGGTAAGAGAAAACGCAGGTGTGCCCCCTCCAGCAGCTGTCCCAGCAGTTCAGCATCGACTCCACCACCACCATAGACGAGGTGGCATGCAAGTGACAACCCGATTATCAAGAGAAATGGCCACCATGGCAGCCAACATGAGGGACATTACTAGCCAGAACATGGCTATGAGGGAACTTATGGCCCAAATGCAAGGCCAGGGGGGCTTTCCTATTCCTCCATACGCCTCCAAGGGCACTACCAGCAAGAAGATGAGGTTCAAAGTCAGAGAGTTGCCTCGTCAGACTATAGCTGAGGTAGAAGTCCATTTGAAAGGAAAGTGGAAGTTGATGTTTCTTCTAACTACGCTTCTGGGCGACCCATCAAGGTCCCTTTGAACCATGATAACTTCTCACCTTCATATGAGCAAGAGCAAAGACATAAGAGGTTAGGTAGTGTATTTGACTGAATCAGCCCTGCAGAACTGAGGCCCAGGAAACAATAGCCCCACGAGCCTTGGACAAGGCCATAGCCCCCACATCCAATGGCTCAACAACCGAAAGAAAGGCACGAAAATGCCCCTCGTGCTGCACAGCCTAGAAATAGGCACCAAAGAGGAAGAGGAGGCTAGGAATCATCCCAGAACCTCTCACTAACCACCAAGGTATGAGGCTGAAGAAAATGATTCAGATGAGCAGCAGAGGTCCTGTAACTTGGATGATGATGATGAGAACCTGCCATTCTCGAGGGAACTAAGGAGTGCCCAGGTCCCGAACCACTACGTTATGCCCAAGATACTAAAGTATGACGGAAGAGATGACCTTGAGAAGCACCTGAACGCTTACAAAACTCACATGAGCCTAAGGGGAGCCACCCCAGCTATGAAATGCAGAGCTTTCCACTTAACACTTAGCAGAGCAGCTGAGATTTGGTATAGTAGGTTACCACTTGGGAGCATAAGAAGTTGGCCCGAATTCAAAACCACCTTCTTGAAGAGGTTCGCTGTGAGCAAAGAGAGAAAGGCTTTCATCCAACGCCCCCAAAACATGAGACAGACACATAGGGAGTCCCTGAAGAGCTTCCTATCACGCTTCACTTATAAGATGATGTACTGTGTGCAAGTCACCGATCGTAAGGCGTTATTTGCATTGAGAGAAGGCTTGAACATGAACACCATGTTTTGGAGGGACGTGCAAAATCAAAAACCCACCACCTATGACGCCCTGCTCAAGATGCCGAGATGGGAGATCATCAATGAAGAATTGATTGAGCATAGGAATAGGGCAAGTAGAGGCCTCCCACCTCGACAAAGACAGAATGCTAGAGGGTCGACCTCCCACTTGATGGATTACCAAATGAACCAAGCTGGGAATGAGAGTTTTGGGCAAGCACTTACCACTACCACTTTGAACGCAGTTTTGACCTTGGCATATGAGGATATCAACCCAGTCACTGACACCCAGCAGATGAGAACTCTGCAAGGATCCCGCAGGATGACAGGCCGAGGTCGGGGTTCGGGACCTAGAAATAGGTCAAATCCGAACCCCCCAGATACTGCATATACCACCGGTCCTATGGCCACGACACAGCAAATTGTCGAGACTATGCTCACCGTACCCAGCAGAAACCCCCAGGGATAGAAATGAATCGCCCCAGGCAAACAGGCCCCCACCTAGGTATGACAACCGACCTGAGCGTGAAGAGACCGCTTCTCGTCAAAGGGATGTTTCCCCGGGATGAAGGAAGTACGATGCAGAGAGGCCCAGGAAAGCACGCAGACACCGGAGAAGTCGGCAAACTCAGGATGAGGCCCCTATCCACGAGGTGGATACCATATTTAGAGGCCCATATGTGGGCGGTGAAACGAGGAACGCTAAAGGAAATATGCCCGTGAAGCTAAGCGCCCCCCACTTACCAGCTATATTGTGGACCATAGCTGCCGAAGGAATCAAGTTCTACCTATTGTCTTCACCCAGGAGGATGCTGAAGGGATTCACTACCCCCACTGCGATACACTTGTGGTGAGAGCGGTCATAGCTCGGAATGGACTCAAATGAATGCTACTTGACAACGGTAGCTCTGTTAACATCCTATTCGGGTCCACCTTTGACAAGATGATACTGGACCATAAGTTGACGCCCACCACTACTCCCTTGTACGGATTTACTGGAGATAGCATCACTCCGAGAGGAAAGATCACCCTTGCAGTGGAGATGGGGGAGTCTCCCCAAACCGCAATGAACTTTATGGAGTTCCTCATTGTTGATAGTCGATCGGTCTACCACGGAGTATTGGGTAGGCTAGCTCTAAAGAAATTGGGAGCCGTCACCTCCATCCACCACCTATGCATGAAATTTTCGATGGAAAATGGGGTAGCAACGGTGAGAGGCGATCAAAGAGGCTCGAGAGAGTGCTATCTAAGCTCTATCAGAAAGGTAGAGCCCCGGGACGTCCATGTGATTATCGTAGACATAGTCATGACTGATGTCCCAGGTGATGCTCCCTCCGAACCGAAAGATGTGGAAATGATTGACGCACCACCCATGCTGAAAATATTAGTTATCGATGAGATTGACCGCCGCATAATTGAACACGAACCTCAAGCATCCCCAGTTGAGGAACTTGAAAGCTTCTCGGTGGACCCCCAAGACCCATCCAAATTATTGAAAGTGGGAAAAGGCTTGTCCAACAGTTTGAAAGAAAAGATCAAGGGTTTCTTAAGTAGGAACCTTGATGTCTTTGCTTGGAGACATAAGGACATGGTAGGTATAGACCCCAAGGTCAGTTGTCACCACTTGAAAATTGATCCTAAGGTTGCCCCCGCACAGAAAAAAGAGAAGAGCCCTTAACCCTGAGAGGTATGAGGCCCTGAAGGAAGAGGTTCAGAAGCTCATCCAAAATGGCTTCATCAGGGAGGCTACCTATCCGAGGTGGGTCTCCAATCCGATTTTAGTGAAGAAACACAACGGAAAGTGTAGGGTATGCATTGATTTCACTAACCTCAACAAAGCTTACCTGAAGGATAGCTTTCCACTCCCAAGGATTGATCAACTGGTAGATTCCACAGCTGGGCACGAGTTGTTGAGCTTCATGGACGCATACTCCTGCTACAACTAAATTCCCATGCACCCGGTTGATGAAGAACACATCTCTTTTATCACAGACAAAGGCCTTTACTGCTATAAGATGATGTCCCTCGGGTTGAAAAACGCCGGGACCACATATCAAAGGCTCGTCAACAAACTGTTTGTAGACCTCATCGGCAAGACAATGGAGGTCTACGTAGACGACATGCATGTGAAAAGTATGGAAGCTGGGGACCACGTGACGTGCTCAACCCCCTCAAGTACGCTTTTGGGGTTGCCTTCAAAAAATTCTTAGGATATATGGTCAACCAACGCGGAATTGAAGCCGCCCCTGAGAAGATTGAGGTCCTACGCAAGATAAGGTCCCCTAAAAGCCAAAAGAGGTACAAAGCTTAACTGGGCGAGTGGCCGCACTTAGTCGCTTCGTCTCCAAAGCTACAGACAAATGCCTCCCATTTTTCAAAGTGTTGAAAGCTGGGAAGAAATTCAAATGGATCGAGAAATGTGAAGAGGCCTTCCAGCGCCTGAAAGGGCACCTAGGGCAAGCCCTCCTTCTCTCCAAATCGAAGCCCGGCGAGATTCTTCAGCTGTATTTGGCCGTCTCCAATGAGGCCATCAGTGCAGTTCTAATCCGAGAAGAATGGACCACCCAACTCCCCGTATACTATACAAATAAAGCACTACTATCACCGAAAACCCGTTACCATGATATGGAGAAGCTCGCTTTGGCCTTGATCACGGCTTCCAGGAAATTGAGGACCTATTTTCAAGCCCACACCATACATGTGCTAACAAACCTTCCCCTGAGACAGGTACTTCAAAAGCCCGATGCCTCAAGAAGATTATTGAAATGGGCAGTGGAGCTAAGTGAATTTGACCTCGTGTTGAAGGCTAGGGCGGCCATCAAGGGCCAAGCCTTGGCTGATTTTGTGGCAGAATTTGCCAATTTACCCGAGGTGGATGAAATCATGGAAAATGCCGAGCTCCCTACGTGGAACTTATTCGTGGATGGATCGGCTAGGGACACCAGTTCAGGTGCCGGAGTTGTCCTCATCAGCCCGGAAGGTCACAAGTTGAACTCAGTTGTGAGGTTCGGGTTCAAGGCCACCAACAATGTGGCAGAATATGAGGCACTTCTTGCGGGCCTCAGATTAGCCAGAGAAATGCAAGTGAAGAGGCTACTTATTAGTAGCGACTCCCAACTGGTCGTTAGCCAGGTAAACAGTAACTTCTTAGCCAAAGATAAAACCATGGCCTCCTACTTGAAAATGGTGATGAACCTTGTCTCATCCTTTAAAAAGTTTGAGTTGATCCAAATCCCCCACGATGAAAATGCACATGCGGATGCTCTCTCCAAACTTGCTAGTGGCAAGGACTCCGAACTACTCACAGTAGTCCAATAGAGCACCTCCTCATACCATCAACTGAGGCCCCCAATGTGATGTGGGTGGCCGGGACTCCTACATGGATGCAGCCCATCGTAGCCTAACTAAAAGACCAGGTACTTCCCACTAATAAGCATGAAGCTTACAAGCTAAGGAGGAGGTCAGCTCATTTCATCTTCATTGATGATGTACTCTACAAGAGGAGCTTCTCCTCTCCACTCCTTCGATGCGTGGGAGGAGAAGAGGCTACCTCCATCTTAAGGGAAGTCCACGAGGGAGTTTGCGGTAACCACTCTGGAGGTCTATCTTTGGCGCAAAAATTACTGAGACAGGGGTACTATTAGCCTACCTTGAAAAAGGACGCCCTCCAGTTTGTACGAAAATGTGACAAATGCCAACGATTCTCTCCTATCCAAAAACAACCATCGCAAGATTTGACCGCGGTTTCCAGCCCCTGGCCTTTCTCGAAGTGGGGTATGGACCTCATAGGTCCTCTACCAAAAGGCAGAGGAGGCGTGAGCTTTGCAATTGTGGCCATTGATTATTTCACGAAGTGGATTGAGGCTAGGGGTGTAAGCGGTCTGGTTTTACCAATTTTTGACAAATTTTCAAATCAAACCATTTAAACCTGTTTGAGAAAAACTCAAACCTAAACCAAACAATTTTGAACGGTTTGAAAAAACTCAAACCTAAACCTAACGGTTTGGTCCGATTTTAAACGGTCAATTTCGTCATATTTTTTTGTCTGTCTACTTTTATGATATTAATTCATTGAATTCAATATATATTTATATTTTACTGACAATAAATCTAAAACAATCTAAACCCTTGTTTGAACCAAATTTTTGGGACAAAAAAATAAAATTTTGGATCATTATCCCACAAGTCTAACCGCATTTGTTGACCTGATGTTTCGTGTGTGGGACCCAACCTCCTCTCCAACGGTCAATTTCCTCATTATGATAACATGAAAAATATGGTTCGAATAGGGGTTACTATATCTACTGTAAATTTAAATATCTACTAAACCAAAGTGAAATTACAATAAACTAAAACATAGTTTTTTCATTTTTGTTCACCTTTTTAGGCTAATGACGTTATGATTACATTACAATACAAGTCTACTAAACGAGATATAAGGCTCAAAAAATATAATGATATCCAACAAGACCTCATGATCATCATATCTGAAAAAAATGTTACTGATTAGACAAAGAGAGTAACCAACCACAATAATAAATCAGATATTTATAATATCTTAACGTAGCAAATACACAAGCTTACGCTTGTATGTTGTTACGAAACGCATTTAATTTCAGATTCTTACCTCAATTTACTCAAAAAAATGATTGATTTGAAACTTTATTTGTAGCAAATATTATCATCGAAAGCATATGATCTCTTTGTTTCCGATTTGGTTTAACAGACTACAATTCAAATTTGAAGTGGCGTAAAAAATCTGAAGAAGAAGTGTGTGTGGTGACGGTGGCTCAAGACTGTGTCAGGTGTCGGTTGGAGTTCCTTTGAATTCTAAAGAGGAAAAGAGCTTTTGATAGATTATATTAGTTTTGAGATTATTATATATAAATTAGGATTATTAGGTAATAATAATATATATGTATTAGAAAATTAGAAATTGACAAAATACCCACAAATGGTAAACTATTGAATTTTACATATTTGGATGAATTTTCAAAAAACTCCATTTTTTTATTTAAATATAATTTTTTCCAGTCCGGTTTGGCTTTAAACCATAATTAAAATTTTCAAACCTAAACCAAACCATTTTTACCGGTTTGGTTTGGTTCAAAACCATTTCGTTGACCAGGTCCACGTGGCACTAAACTGACGATTTCTAAAATGCGGTTTCGGTTCAATTTTTCAATTTTTGCTTACAGCTCTAGTTGAGGTTGAACCACTGGCAAAAATCATAGAGGCAAACACTTTCAAGTTCTTGTGGAAAAACATTATATGTCGGTTCGGGATTCTCTACTCAATCGTCTTAGACAATGGTAAACAGTTCGACAACAAGAAGGTCAAAAGTATGTGTGAAGAACTTGGCATCAAGAAGCACTTCTCCACACCTCACCACCCACAAGAAAATGGCCAAGTTGAGGCTGTAAACAAGACCATCAAACATGTCCTGAAAAGGAAGCTTGATGTGTTAAAAGGAGCCTGGGTGGATGAGCTACTACAAGTGCTTTGGACAATCCGAACCACTACGAAGACCCCCATAGGGGAAACACCTTTCCTCATGGCATACGGAACTAAGGCAATGAGCCCCGTCGAGGTCGGACTTCCATCTCCACGACATCTGCACTTCAGTGAAATAACAAATGACGAGCTCCTGAGGTTTGACCTCGACTTTATTGAGGAAAGAAGGGATGACGCCCAGCTGAAGCTCGCCACATATCAAAGAAAGATGAAGAAGTACTTCAACTTAAAGGTGAGGAATAGGTCGTTTCGAATCAACGACCTGGTCCTTAGGAGAGTCTTCCTCTCCTCCAAGGAACCAGGCACCGGTACCTTAGGTCTGAATTGGGAAGGCCTGTGTAGAATCAAGAAGGAGATCCGACCTAGGACATATCGAATTGAAGACATGGACGGCAAGGCACAACCCCGTCCATGGAACATTTAGCACCTTCGAATCTATTATCAATGAATGTACTACCTCGCTGGACGATCTTTCCCAGCTCATGTAACATTTCCATGATTCAATAAAATTGTCCATGATTGAACTCAAGTCTCGCACTACGTCGTCACCTCGGAGGAGAAGTCAGCGTCCCATCTCTGGGCCACCTCGCTTGAACTTCGAGGCGCACGCCACTTACCTCCCTTTGACGAGGCTGAACGCCACTAGAAGAAGCCTCAACATGGATGAACCATCCACCATGCTGGGAAGCATTGTCACCTCGGAGGAGAGGTCAGCGTCCCATCCCTGGGCCACCTCTCTGGAACTCTGAGGCGCACGCCACTTGCCTCCCTTTGGCGAGGCTGAACGCCACTGGGAGAGACCTCAAATGGATGAACCATCCATGTTGGGAAGCGTCATCACCTCGGAGGAGAGGTCAGCGTCCCATCCCTGGGCCATCTCGCTGGAACTCCGAGGCGCACGCCACTTGCCTCCCTTTGGCGAAGCTGAACGCCACTGGGAGAAGCCTCAACATGGATGAACCATCCATGTTGTGAAGCGTCGTCACTTCGGAGGAAAGGTCAACATCCCATCTCTAGGCCACCTCGCTTAAACTCCGAGGTGCACGCCACTTGCCTCCCTTTGGTGAGGCTGAACGCCACTGGGAGAAGCCTCAACATGGATGAACCATCCATATTGGGAAGTGTCGTCATCTTAGAGGAGAGGTTAGCATCCCATTTCTGGGCCACCTCGCTTGAACTCCGAGGCGCATGCCACTTGCTTCCCTTTGGCGAGGCTGAACGCCACTGGGATAAGCCTCAACAAGGATGAATCATCCACCATGTTGGGAAGTGTCGTCACCTTGAAGGAGAGGTCAGCGTCTCATCTCTGGGCCACCTCGCTTGAACTCCAAGGTGCACGCCACTTGCCTCCCTTTTTGTGAGGCTGAAAGTCAAGGGGAGAAGCCTTAACGAGGATCGAACTTCTTTACCCAGATTCACAAGGCCCAACCACTATGGGCTTCACGTAACTCGATCAGACATAGCAATGTTCTCAGTTCAGCTGGAAGACAGTCCACTATTAAGATCTATTCAGGTTACAATTATTAACCTTAAAGTATATGTACTTGCTTATGTCCAATATCAGTCATGGTTTGTGTGGCTTGAGTACAATTTATTAAGTGATTGGAGTTGGGATATCAAGTCAAGGTTATTTAATTTGTCATTCAATGTTAAGTGTGATTACTTAACGAGGCCAATGCACTTGGAAGAACAACATTGAATGAAAAAGATTATATTGATTTTCAATGTTACAAAAGGAGGGCCTAAGGCCAGTACATCGAAATTAACTGAAAAATAAACCATTCTAAGCCTCGGATGGTAGCGGAGGTGCCTCGACAGTAAGAGCCTCCGCAGCTTGAGCATCATAACTCTCTTCTGCCTCATCCCCAACCGCTTTATCAGCTGGGGTCTGAGTCACTTCATCCACAAACTCCGACCTCAGCTGTGACAGGTCTTGATTTGGGAAGAGTTCCTCAACCCTCTCCATCATTTTAGCATAGGCATAATTCCTCCAGTAGACGCTGAAGCTCTTGCACTCCTCAGTGTTGTAGAAGTTGGCAATGTAATCTTTGACTGCCTCCTGCCTCGCGACATTGGTATCCTCCTTTACCTTGGCCATTTCATCATATACCATTTTATTTGGCCTCCAAGAATTTGTATGCATCTTGGCCCCGGCCAGCTACAGATTGGCCTTCTCCAAGGCCTCAGCAGTCATCTTTTGGTGGTCATTGGAGACCTCCACTTTCTTGGTAAGAGAAGCCACTTCGCACTGGGACTCATAAACCTCCTTCTTCAAGGCCTCGATCTGGGCCAAAGCAGACTTCAACTTGGCCGCATCTTCTATTTTTTGGGCCCTCACTTCCTCTGCCTCGCCCTTAGCCTTCTTCAGCTCCTCTGCGAGGAAGGTCACCTTCTTCTCTGAGGATTGGGTCCTCGTTTGAAAATCAATAAGGGCCTCCCTGCACTCCAATGCGAGGCAAAATGTCCTCACACTTTGGCTCACAAGACCCCTTGTCAGGTCCACCGCGTCGCAGGAAGAGGCGTGCAACTATCACCGATCCGTGCAGAATTTATAAAAGCTCTCTGTAGCGCTTCGGATCTTGGCTGGCAGAGCCTCCATCAACGACGGGGCCAGGACCTCCTCCCTCCCAGCAAGGAAGTTCGGCGATTTCCCTTTGACTCTTGTGGGCCTTTGCTTGGTAGCTTCTTCCTCTGCCTTCTCAGCAGCCTCCTCAGCCTTGGCACATCGCACCATTTCTATCTACACAGCTTTGGAGGTAGCTTCAGGAGCTTTGGCTGAGGGGTTTCTTTTCCTTCGTGGGACATAAAGGTCCCAAACTTCCCAGATGAGCTGGTGACGTGCACCAGCTTCATCTTCTTCTGCTCCTCGGGGACCTTCTCCTTTCTCCGAGGCTCCTTGGCCTTCTCCGACCTCTGAGGAGCCCCCTCCTCAGCAGCCCTGGAACTGCTTTCTTTGGAGAGTCGCTCAACCCTCTCCCGAACCTCCTTTGCACCACTTGACCCCAATTTCAGGGGCCTCGCTGACACATTGGATGTGGCCCCAAGGATAGAGGCCATGTTCGGGGCTGGGTACTCCCTCCTCTTGAACTTGTCTGCAAAGCAGGTCAGTACATCAGCATCGAAATAAAAA